GAAGAAGAAGAAGAAGAAGAAGAAGAAGAAGAAGAAGAAGAAGAAGAAGAAGAAGAAGAAGAAGAAGAAGAAGAAGAGGAGGAAGAAGAAGAGGAGGAAGAAGAATTATTGTCAAGCTGCATTTCTTTTAGACAGAAATTTTGGAGTAAATGCTTTATTAAGGGCATGCTTTCCAGGAGAATCTTGTAAAGGGAGTGAGATTAGAGTTGGGGGGAAGGGATGGACCATACAAGAATGTGGTCTCAGAAAGTCTGGCTGTAGACTCACTAGGGACCTGTGTAGGATCTGAGTACCTATCACATTTCATGTCACTCACCCAGGAGGGAAAGGGGTCAGATTTTGGCACACCTGTGTGAGAGGGACACTGTCTAGCCATATAGTGAAGTAATTTCCCTTCTCTGGAGAAGTCGCACCCATCAACCAAAGGCAGTTCTGAGAAGGTGGCAGGCACTAACTGATGACTGTAACTCTCCTGGAGCTAGGAATGAGAACAGTGGTCAATAAAGGGGTCCCAGGAAGGCCAACAGCCCCTGGTAAAATAGCTAAGACTTACCTAGTATAGACTGTGTGCTAGGCACTATCATGAGCCCTTTATATACATTAATAGATTTAGCCTTCAAGGTAATTGCATTTGTTTACATTTTATAATAAGGGAACTTTTGAGGCCTAGAGAGGTTAAAAGTTACTTTCCCATGGGTCTACAATAAGAATACAGTAGAGCAAGGATTCAGACCTAACACTTTTGGTTCTAGTTCCCATACCCCTAATTTCTACCTGTACTTCCTCAGTACAGGATCTCCCTACCATGAGGCTCAGAAAGTTAACCAAGGGCATTTGGGGTAAAAGTTTTAAAATTTTAGGTTTGGGGACCTGGTCTAGAAGGGAGACAGGAGGTGTGTGTGTGTGTGTGTGTGTGTGTGTGTGTGTGTGTGCGCGCGCGTGTGTGTGTAATGGACTCCACATGAGTAAGTCTCCTTGGTCCAGTAGGTAGGGTGTACAGAGGAAGGGCAGAGCACTCTGGAGATGCTCAGAGAAGCACTTTCCTTGTTCCCTGCTCTTGCCCACATGCTTCCACCAAAGTGAATTACCTGAATTTTCTCAACATGCCATACTCTGGTGGTTTGTTTTTGGGCGAGGGCCAGCTTTTTGCTTCATTTCATTTTTTGAGACGGGGTTCTCACCAGGAATCTCAGGACTGGAGCTCATCCCTGCTTCAGCCTCCTGAGTGCTAAGATTACAGGTATGTATTTCTATACCTGGCTGCAACTTTTGCTTCTTTTATTTGTGATTTTTGTACTGACTATAGAATGGAAGTCATTCACTTGGCCTCTTGCCCTAGTTTCCCTCATTCATCTTTTGTGAACTCTCTAAATCCCTTCATTTCTGACTTCCAACTCCTCACCCACAAATATCGTCAGAAAGTTAAGTTTAGCATGATATAGGGACCTGAGCATGGGCTTCAAAGTCTAAGGTCCTAGTTTTGAATTTTTGCTTAGGTATTTATTGCTAATCATGTGATCTTATACAAATGTGCTAGTCGTGTGATCTTATACAAATATGCTAGACATGTGATCTTATACAAATGTGCTAGTCATGTGATCTTATACAAATGTGCATTCAATGTCATCATTTCTTACATGGGAGAACCACATTTAGTTTATAAAGTTATTGTAAAGATAAAACACAATATTGTATGACAAGTGCCCATATAGTTTGTGGCACAGAATAAGCACAAAATAAAAAGTCCTTTCCCCTCCCCAGATATGCCTCTTGATGCCAGACACACAAAGAACCTTTGGAGATTAGGCTGTTTTCACAGAAAGGTGCTAATTAGGTCAGTTCTCAAAGTTCAGTTCAGTCCCTGGGTTGCTTTCTCCATCTCCTGATCTGGTGAGCACTTCCTAGCAAATCTTAGTACCCGATTTCTACTTTTAGTTGTCAGAAATGATTAGTTAATATTGTATAACATGCTGTTGTCTGCCACATTTATATACTGAGACAGTCAACTTCCAGTCTTGGTACCAACACTGAGTATTTGCTAGGGATACAAATTCCTCATGTCAACATAATGGTGGTAACAGGGCCTTAACCCAAGGAAGACAAATTGAGTAAGACCTTAGCTGTAAAGGGAGGCAAGGCCCATAGGTAAAATGTGACTCCAACTGAATTAAACTGCACTCAGTAAGAAAAGTCTTTAAATGCCACTGGAAATATGGATAAACAAACCCATTATAAGAAGAAATATTTGTAATATCTGTCAATCAAAGAAAGGCAAATTTAAAAGAAATTCAACTTTTTTATTAAAATAGGCAAAGATTTTAAAATCTGGTGTTTGCTGAGGCTACAATAAATGGCGGGTACTTTCATACATTGGTGGTGGACATATTGACAATAATTAAAGTTGTAATATGCCCATAGGATAGACAATGTGTTGCTAAGTCTTAATAACCTTGGGAAAGTTTGAGGGATGAGAGAAAGCAATGTTACAGTGAAAAGTAGAAGGCGATATATTCTGAAAATTATGTGCACAAAAAATATTGTGGAGAAATAGACCAGAATATTGTAAACTGTTACCATTAGCATCCCTTATAGATTTTAAAATATTTTAGTTTTTCTATAGCTACCAGGTATTCTTTATTTAGTTAATTTTTAAACTTTTATTTTTTGAGAATTTCATACTTGCATTATTTCCACCCCTTCTTCCCCTCTCCTATGCCTCCCATGTGCCCCTCCCACTCTCTGTCAATTTCTTGTCCTCTTCTTTTAAAATGATTGTTACATATGCATACATTTATAAATACACATATATGAAATGCTTTGAGTCCATGTAGTGGTATTCATGTGTACATTTGTTTATGGCCGACCACTTGAGATTAGATAACCTCTCATGGAGCTCATCCCTGGAGGAAACTAATTCTCCCTCCTACAGTATCCATTGATTACCTATAGCTCTTTATCTAGACATAGGGCCCTGTGTCTTCTTACAAAGAGAAAGAAACCCTGTAATTTAGGCAGAAGTTACATTACTTTTAAAAAGTAAGGCAGAGTATTTTATGGAAGACTTTGGCCATGTGAGGATTCATTAAGTGTTAGAGGAGGTACCTCTTTTCCACTGGGATACAGGATTTAGGGAGGAACAGATTCAGCCCCCCTCTTGTGGCTCAGTCTTCTAATGGTGGCCTTCCTACTAGCAGCTGAAAGCAACCATTCTGTGGTGAAGCTTGCATAGCACACACAACAGTTTAAAGCAAGTACTGAGAGAGGAATCATGTGAAAGACTCCAAGGAAATACTGTACCAGTATTTATATAAAAATGTGAACTAACCAAAGGCTACTTAGTCATAACATAAATTTATGGGTTAAATAAGCCACAGATAAAGAGGACCTCCTAATTGAGATCTTACAGCTTTTTATACTTCATTTTTTCATTAAATTTTGTTAAAATATAGTCAAGGTTTAAGCTTTTAAATAAACTAAAGTTTTAAATAAACTAAAGTAAGTTATGTAGCAATCTCTTGGCTCATTTGGCATGCTTGTCTTGGCTTTTGAGATGGTCACCATCACATCATTTGGCCTGATTTCAAGAGCTGCTGCCCACCCCAGCAATGTGAAGGGACTCATCCAGTGGAGGAGCATGAAACTGCAGGATAGTATCCCAACTCCCATTAGCCCCTCCACTGCTATCCTATAGCTGTCAGCATGACTCAGCAACCTGAGTTGTAACGTTGACATGCACTTTGAACTACAAGTAATTTATTTTAAATGCAGTGCTGGCAAATGATGCTATTAATACTTTGTGTACTGTCTGATCATTTGGCAGAATTGGCCTACAGCCCTTTATTGGAAAGGATTCTCTGGCTCAGTTTGGGTTCAGTGGTAAAGTGCACCAACGTCTGTCACAGATGTTGACATAAGGAAGATATCTCAGATTTACAGCCAGTAGAGTCCTGCCTTCAACAAGCTTGAATTCAAATGAGGAAACATGATTCATCCTAGAAAGGAGAGAGACAAAAGTTTAAAAAGAGCTTAAGTGCAATGCTGAATGGCCAAATGATATATATCACAAGTACAAGTAACTATATATGGAAGGCCTAGTTATTTGCTACGTGTTAAGAGGAGGTAGAATACTCCAGCCCTTGGTCAAATGGGGTTTAAGTTGGCTGGAAAGGTGACAGGAGACCTGACCTGAGTTGGAAGGGTGATCCAATCAGGGAGATGCAGGCCTCCTGATGCTTTCTGCCTATGTACTTAAAAGTCTCAGCTGCCCAGAGTGACCCTGTCTGACCTATGATTTCCCCATAGTGAGGACGTTTGCAAACGTGGCTTCACAGTCATCATCGACATGCGGGGCTCCAAGTGGGACCTCATTAAGCCCCTCCTCAAAACACTTCAGGAAGCCTTTCCAGCTGAGATCCATGTGGCCCTCATCATCAAACCTGACAACTTCTGGCAGAAACAGAAGACCAACTTTGGCAGCTCCAAATTCATCTTTGAGGTAAGCCAGACCTCTCGTTCATCTCCTTTGTGCTCCTCTGTGTGATCAATACATTTCTTACATTCCTTCTCCATCTACCCTATAATGTTAAAGATGTCAAGGGCTGAAATTTGAGGATTCCTTGGCCACTTTGGCCTCACTCATTACATTATGGTATGAATAAGAGGCTCAAGATGATCCTAAATGTACAACACCATTAACTATTCTATGTACTGTTGGTGGGAATGTACATTGGTATAAGTATTTCTGATAACAACATTGCAATTTAGATCAAACTTTTAAAGAATTTATATCAGTAGATCTAGTAATTCTTCTAGAAAAGCATTCAAAGAAAAAAAATTAAGCTGATTAAAATTATAAACAAAAACTGCCTACAAAGATGTTCATTATGGTTCATTTTTGCAGCAGAATGCACATACACATATGTAATTAGCATGTGAATATTTGATTATATACTAACTATTCATTAACTTGAGTGACATTAAAACAGAAATATTATGAAATCATGAAAATGATATTTAGAAAATATCACGAAATGTTCATGGTATATAGTTTTTAAAAGGCAGGTCATAAAGCAATATGGATAATGTAATCTTGAATTTGTTCTCCAAATCTCTGAGAAGACAGAAAAACAGGATTGTTTTCAGTAGTTTATTTAGGTGACTAGAAAATGGGTGATTTTTTTTTTATTCATGTTTTTCTATTTTCTTTCAAGGATTATACATGACTTGTAATCAGGGAAAGCATGTTGTTTGTAAACTAAATTTTCCAGAAGGCATATGAATCCCTTGAGAACTTTTAATGACAACCCATAATATTACATAATATTAAATCAAAGATTTAAATATCCTTATTCCAGCAAAGTTGAACTGTCCCTTTTCACATAATTCTGGTCCTCATCGGCAAGGTGGGGGGGGGAGAGAGAGAGAGAGAGGGAGAGACTCTATTTAATCTTTCAGCAGTTTCCCATTTTAAATTGTTGTCCCCCAAGGGCAGGAAATGTCTATACATTCATGTGGTGGCCCCATTTGGATGCATTAAGCACAAACGGCCTGAGCCGTTTCTCAGTTCATAATAGCTCAAGAAAATTGTCTTGATATGAAAACATTTAACTATCATAGTCTCTCAGGAACCTACCAAATGTTACAAACGAGTCCTGCAGAGAAACACTTCTAATATTTTTGGTTTGTTTATACAGTGATGGTGACAACAAGCCTATACATTTGTAAGCTGAAGAGGCTGAAAAGAATATTTCCCAAAAATCTTGAAACCTTTACTGCTGTGTAGCTGCTCTGCCTATCCTATGACCCTCTACACACGAAGTTGAGCAAGCTTGTCTCTGCCTCCTAAACAAGAGGTACAAAACAGATAGCTGGTGACTTCCTCCTCAGTATAAGAATTATAAAGTACAATCTTACCAAATTGAATCCCTGCTGCAGATTGAGGCAACACGTGAGACAGGGAGGAGCGGGTATGCAGACTAGTCCGTAGCAGATACTCAGGGAACGGCTCCTGAAAAACAAGAGAACTTTCTGAAGTGGTAAGCCAAGCTAAATTTGAAAAAGAGTTGCCCCAGAATAAGGATTCTTAAACTTAATACACACAAGTCCCCCAGGATCTTGAAAATGCAGAATCTAGGGCAGGCCCCAGAGTCTACCTTCTGACGGGTTTTCCTGATACCAATGTTTCTGGCCCAAAGGCTTTCAGGCAGCCAAGACCTACATTAGCAGAGGTTTGTGTCACTGGCTGTATATTAGAATCACCCTAGGAGCATTTAAAGCTACCCATGCCTGAGCTCTGGTCTAATGAAGTCAGAATTTCTAGGGGCAGGTTTCTTTGATTCTTCAAACTCCTCAAGGGATTCTACGAGCAGACAAGTATGAAAACTGCTGTTGCAGACCAGCCTTGCTTTCTATGCCAGCTCCCTTTGTGTCTTAGGATGCGGGTGGAGGGAAAGAGAGACAGGGAGATGCTCAGACATCAGCACAATGCAGGGACAGACTGCTCTTAGCAGTTCATATGATATGTGCCTGCCCTTCAGATCATCATAGTGAGCACCAATGACGATGGAGCATGGACTCCATGCCTGGCCTCCTACGTACTTGGCACACATTGACACAATTAATCAGATTTTTGGATAAGGATTTCAGCTTATTTTATCTCTACTATACAGAAAAGAGACTGGGCCCTGAGAGCTTAAATAGCTTGCCTCAAACCATGCAGTTAGTAAGTGAAAGGGGATCCCAGACCTGGATATTTCCTTCATAGCTTCTTCACCAGAGAGAGTGAAGCCAAAACCCTGTAGGAAGGAAAAAGTGTTTCCTGACAAGTGGGTGGTTGTATTGTTGTTTGCTGGAAATGGTTCCTGGACACAGTGTTCTCCACTTCGCTCTTCAAGTGCTTGTAGGGGCCTCACAGAGAAAACAGAGGGCCCAAGACCCCCTGCTGCCTATCCTCAGTTCTCTTGAATGTACCATAGAATTGAGAGATGAGCCTGGGAGATGAGCTGGCATCAGCTCAGCCTGTGGAGAAAGACAGTCTACGAAATCCTTGCAGCCCAAGAACTGACCCACATTGCTTAATCCACCCATGGTGATTGGTCCCCATCCCCCATAGCAGATGCTAGGTTAGTTTTTCTTCTAGCTTTTGCTTCTAGCATCTGAAACCCAGCTGTGGTGGACTCTGGCTGGGGAGGAGGGAAGATGAGGGAAACAGGAACACAAAGGCAGTGTTTTTTTTTGGATGTGAATGTAGGTAGGTGGAGAGGTTTGTTGAAGTAGCCAGCAATCTGTTGAACCTGCTGATCCTGGCTGAGTTGTGGCTCCTGACCAGTGGACCCCCATAGACTCTCTCCCACTATTTTCTAGGCAGGTTATTGTTCTAATTATGTGGACTTGGTCTTTCCCTCCTCTACCTGGTTTCTACTGTTCCTACTCTGGTATCTCCCCTGCCAGCACACATCAATGAGTATCCTTTTTGTGTTTGTTCTTCCCAGACAAGCATGGTATCTGTGGAGGGCCTCACAAAGCTGGTGGATCCCTCCCAGCTGACAGAGGAATTCGATGGTTCCCTGGATTACAATCATGAGGAATGGATTGAGTTGCGGCTCTCTTTGGAGGAGTTCTTCAACAGTGCGGTGCACCTCCTCTCACGCCTTGAGGACCTGCAGGAGATGCTGGCCCGGAAGGAGTTCCCTGTGGATGTGGAGGGCTCTCGACGGCTCATTGATGAACACACACAACTTAAGAAAAAGGTGCTGAAGGCCCCTGTGGAGGAGCTGGACCGGGAAGGGCAGCGGCTGCTTCAGTGCATCCGCTGCAGTGATGGCTTCTCAGGGCGCAACTGCATCCCAGGGAGTGCCGATTTCCAGAGCCTTGTACCCAAGATCACCAGCCTCCTGGACAAACTGCATTCCACCCGGCAACATCTGCACCAGATGTGGCATGTGCGCAAACTCAAGCTGGACCAGTGCTTCCAGTTGCGGCTTTTTGAGCAGGATGCTGAGAAGGTATAGAGGGAGCGGCCAAGACTGAGCTGTGGTGGGTGGGGGCATAACTTTTTAGGGAAACTGTTGGGAGTGGATGATCCAAATCTCTGATTGTAGAAATTTGGATGAAATCCTTTTTAAAATGTGCCCATTGGTTAGTATAATTTTATTTCAATTTTATATTGGGCCATTGATCACTGATTATTCTTAAACTCTACTCTTACATTATATTTATTATGTGCCAAGCAGTATTCTAAGTAGGTAGAATAGCTGTAGGTAGGGTAACTTACTTTAATCCTCTTAAGAGTCCTAAGAAGTAAGTGGACTACCATGATCTCATTTTACAGATGAAACTGAGTAGTCAGTTCTCCAAGCTAGAGAATATAGTTTGGCTGCAGAGTCCATGCTGCACCAGTGCCCTTCTACCCCCTGTATGAGCCTGTGATGCGTGGAGCTGCTAGCAGCCATTATAGCTTTAACTAGTGACTGTTGTCCTGTAGTGGACTTTCCTATCAAGGAGTATTTCAAGCACTGAGTCCTATTTAATCTGCACATCCCTTCAATCCCTGAGGCAGGTGGTAGTGTCTGTCTTGACACACAGCAAAGCTGATGTTCTTTCATCTTGGCAGAGTTGACCTGTGAATCCAGTTTTTCGTTTCCAAGTCCAAGGCTTTCCTTGCCATACCACTTCTTTCTGGAGCACTTTCTCAAATAAGACATCATTTTCACAGCAGTATGTTTTCAAAGCTTTCTCCTTGTCACAGAAAAGTAAGATATGAGGAAGAAAAAAAATGTCTAAAGCCTCTTTGCTGAGGACACAAAACTGTCTTCTCCAGATTCTCTTTAAGCTGAAGAAAAGGAAGAAGAGATTGTTACTAAATGCCCTTTAAGAAGAGTGAAACAAGTGCCCTCCCTACCATCAGTTTCCTAGGTGTGACTTAAATTTAAATGCATGATACTGTTCTTAAGAATACCGTGGCCTCTCTCAGGAACCTGTGAATTTTACAGTGTCTGATGCAGAGGTTTTGCATCTTTCAAGAACCCATATTGAAGGCTCAGGAGGTAGTTTGGTTGGTAAGTGCTTGCTCTGCAAGTATAAAGACACCTGAATTTGATTTCCAGAATTTATGTTAGATGTCAGACATGGTGGCAATGCTTGCAATCCATCACTGGAGAGGTGGAGACAGCTTGGTGACCAACCAGCCTGGCCTAATGGGCAAGCTCCCGGTCCCAGTGAGAGACTGTCTCAAAAATCAAGGTGGACAGCCCTTGAGGAACAACATAATTGGCCAACTCTGGCCTACACACACATGCACCTACTCACCCACACACAGAGAAAAGAATAACTCATATTAAGAATACCTTAAGTATTTTAAAGTGGTAAAATCAAGATCTAAAACTTTCTATATAACAATAACCCTAATTATGTATAACAGGAAGAAAATTTACCGCAAATTAATGGTTTTAATTTCTAGGTGCCAGATTTGTGGGTGATTTTAATTTCTCTGGATAAATTTTCTGATCTATTATGATCACAAGAAAATTTATGTAGTTTCTGAAGAATGCATGTCCATTTCTAAGTAGAACTTTTGTACCTCTCTTGAACAAGTTGTTGGAAGAGACATGTAAAAAAGCTTCCCTAACGTCCTTCATCCTTCAGGCCTCTGTACCCAGTGTCCTGGCAACCTGGGTTTGACCCTGCCTGGCCTGCTTTTACCACAGAGTCCCTACACTACTCCCTGAGTGATGAGAAGCTAGGTGAGGAGCCAGCTCCTGGTGAAGCCAGAAGCAGATACATGGCTCCTGTGACTGGTACTGGGGAGGTTTAGAATACTTCCCCTTTGACCTGGAATCTCTTATGTTCTGGGGCAAGGAGACTGTTTTTCAGCCTCTCATGGTTGTTTGTGTCAGTGAACCAAAGATAAGAGGGGACAGGGGACTTATATCTGCCTGGGTATGTTTTAGATTTTAGGACCCTTCAGGCTCTCCCTGAAACTCAAGGCTCTGAAAAGCCTGCATATGACACAGATGATGCCCACTTCAAAAACAAATAAATACCACACTCTGGTTCCAAAGCTCTCAGATAGGGAAGGTTGCCCTTCTAGAGCCAGCCACATTCCATTCAGCCAGCCAGTGGTTGTTACCCCTCACATATCCCCTTCATGCAGACTCCCAGGAGTTGTATGGTATGTTATTATTCCCAACAAATAGAAACTCAAGAGAGGTATAGTGGCTTTCCCAAGATCACATTGCTGGTTAAACAAGGGTCAGTATTTTAGTTGGCCTTCACAGTTCACCTAGGCTCTTGGCCAATAACCCTATTGTCTGTCTGCTCCCCGGACCTGCCTCATGCTACCACTAAAAACCACTTCTTAGTTTCTAGGTCACCTAAACAATGCCTTGATATCCTAGATAAAGTCCCAATTCCACGTTTTGTGTGTGTGTTGGGGCAGGGAGAGGGTTATATGTGTTTAGTATATGTGCACATATGTGTTCACTTGCCTGTGTGTGGGTACACTTGCCTACACACAAGCACAAAGACCAGAGGAAAACATCAGGTGTCCTGGTGTATCACTCTGACCCTTATTTCTTTGAGATGGTGTCTCTCACTGAACTAGATCTAGGCTGGTAGCCAAGGTCCTCCTGTCTCCCTACAGCTCTGGAGTTGGTAGGCATGTACAAGGTGACTTCTGCCTTTTTTATGAATTAGAAGTATCTGTATTAAAATAGTAAAGGGGGAATAATATTTTTCAAAACCTCATATCTTTTTAATAATAGATAAGCTACAATATAAAATTGCAGGAAACCAGGATGCCAGACACTAGGATGAGATGAGCCTAAAACTTTTTTTTGTTAATTTTTTATTTAATAACCACATACTTAGAAGCATTTCATTACAACAGCATTGACATATTATGCTTATATAATCTTTTACTCATTATAAACTCTATAAGACATAAAATTAAACGAGATTCCAACGTTTAAAAAAGATCTCCATTTCATTTTAGAATATATTGTCCCTTGA